ATTTGGCCCACTGATTACCGAGAGCACGCCACAAATTTGAGCAAATATCTTCAAAAGGCACTGTCAGCCATCGACAACGGAGAAGGCGAATCGGCGAGAACTAGCATGTTCGAGCCTAGAGCCGAGGTGGTGCAATGCTACAATTGCTGGGGGCTAGGCCACAAGGCATTCGTCTGCAAAGAAACGCAGAGATGCGGTAGATGCGCAGAGCGAGGACACTACCATAGGCAATGCGAGGCAGCAGAGCCAATGTGCGTGTCATGCGGAGGACAGCACGAATCATTCCGTCGGGCGTGTCGATTGCGTCAAATGCGAGGAGATGAGCATTAGACTACAAGTGTACCAACGGAATGTGCGGAAGAACGATAGGGTGCATCTGAGCATGATGAACGACCAAGACCTCCGAGATTACGCAGCGTTGGCGGTAGCAGAGCCGTGGGCATGCACAATCGAGGGACAGGTGATGACAGCGCCCAACCACCACAGCAACTGGACGAAGATGATCCCCACCAAGACGCGTGAGCCGCGTGTGTCGCGATGGCCGATCCGCAGCATGCTCTGGATACGGAGAGACTTGGAGGCAGAGCAGGTCCCGATCCCATCACCAGACCTGACGGGAGCGATTATCAGGTTCCCCGAGAGAGACGTGCTGGTGGTATCGGTATATGTAGAGGGGAGGAACGAGCAGGCTCTCGAAGCGGCGATGGGACAGCTGCACACGGCGATTGCAGAGTTCCGCAATGGGTCCGGCAGAAGAACTGACGTGATCTTGGTAGGGGATTTCAATCGTCACGACACACTATAGGGAGGTGATGAGGTGACGGGAAGGAGGCAAGGCGAAGCTGGACCGATCATAGAGCTGATGGGAGAACATGGCCTTCACAGCCTGCTGCCCCGAGGCACGAAGACGTGGGAAGGCCCAGGAGGTATAGCGAGCACGGTTGACCTGGTTCTGGCATCGACGGAGCTGGCGGACGAGATGACGAGCTGTGGGATACATCCAACAGAGCATGGATCGGACCATCGGGCGATCCGAACGGAGTTTGACACGACACCGCCGGAACGAACGCCCAGCGACAGACTGCTATTCAAGAATGCACCTTGGTTAGAGATCAAGGAGAGGGTGAGGACGAAACTGGAAGCGTTGCCGTGTGGCGGCACAGTGCAGGCTCAGACGGACAGGCTGATGTCGGTGGTGCTGGATGCGATCAACGACCTGGTCCCACGAGCCAAGCCGTCGCCTTATGCCAAGAGGTGGTGGACGACGGACCTGACCCGACTGCGGCGGATGTACACATACTGGCGCAACCAGGCAAGGGCATGCCGGCGACGAGGACGAGAGGCAGCAGACCTAGAGCAAAAGGCCAGAGAAGCGGCAAAGGAGTACCACGACGCGATCAGGAGGCAGAAAAAGGCACACTGGGACAGCTTTCTCGAAGACGGAGCCAACATCTGGCAATCAGCCAAGTACCTCTCGCCTGGAGGCGAAGCAATGGGTGATAAAATACCTCCTCTAAAGAGAAGAGATGGAACGATGACGAGCGACAAGGCAGAACAGGCAGAGGAGCTTCTCAGCATCTTCTTCCCCCCTCTGCCGGCTGTGATCGAGGATGAAGAGCGCCGGCCGGCGCAGCGAGAAATAGCAATGCCAGAGGTGACACTAGAAGAGGTGGAAGAGAAGGTGATGGCGGCCAAGGCATGGAAAGCCCCAGGCGAAGATGGACTGCCGGCGATGGTGTGGAAGCAGCTCTGGCCAGTAGTGGGAGACCGGGTGTTGCATCTGTTTCGGACATCCCTGAGAGACGGAGAGCTGCCGGTCCAGTGGAGGAGCGCGAAAATCATCCCGCTCAAGAAGCCGGGCAAGGACGACTACAAGGTGGCCAAGGCCTGGAGACCGATCTCACTTCTGTCGAAGCTGGGCAAGATATTGGAAGCGGTCATTGCGGACCGGATCTCATACGCTGTAGAGACATTCGGACTGTTACCCACCAACCATTACGGCGGAAGGAAGCAACGATCGGCCGAGCAGGCATTCCTGCTCCTACAAGAGCACATCTTCAAAGCGTGGCGCAACCGGAAGGTGCTCAGCCTGATAAGCTTCGACGTGAAGGGAGCGTACAACGGGGTGTTCAAGGATCGACTACTGCAGAGACTGGAAGCCAGAGGCATCCCCAAGGGATTGGTGAAGTGGATCGACGCTTTCTGCTCCAATCGGTCCGCGACGATCGTGGTAAACGGCTACACCTCTGAGCGACGGGACCTGCCACAGGCTGGACTTCCACAAGGATCGCCCTTGTCACCGGTGCTGTTCCTTTTCTTCAACGCAGACCTCGTGCAACGCAAGATCGATACAAAAGGTGGATCGATCGCGTTTATCGATGACTACTCAGCCTGGGTGACGGGTCCGACAGCAGAAGCCAACCGAGTAGGCATCCAGGCCGTCATCGACAGAGCACTGGAATGGGAGAGACGGAGCGGGGCGACATTTGAGGAGGACAAGACAGTCATCATACACTTCACGCGCCATCCCGAACGCACCGATGAAAGCCCCTATACGATCAAAGGCCAGGCGATCATCCCAAAGAGGAGTGGCAAGATACTGGGACTGGTGATGGACCCAGAGTTGCGGTACGAGGAACACATAAAGGAAGCAGCTGCACGGGGACTTCGGGCGGCCATGTGTCTACGAAGGCTGAAGATGTTGACGCCCCGGACGGCGAGACAGTTGTTTTGTAGCAACGGTGGCCCCGACGATGGACTACGCCTTGAACGTGTGGTCCCACCGACGCGGGTGGAGGGAGACCAGGTGGCTGAACGAGGCACAGGAGCCTTCAAGACGGTTTCGATGGCAGTGGCGGAAGCTGAAGCTGGTATTCTACCAATCGGTGAATGCCACGCGCATGCCGGCATACGGCTCTACGTTAACATGCAAACGCTGCCGAAGACGTACCCGCTTGCGACACTTAGGGTGAGAGAGACACGGAGATATCTGTCGCCGTTAACGAAGCTAGCACTTGCCCACGATGGCGTAATAGAATGGATGGAAACGATCGAGCCCTATGCACTACCACCGTGGCATAGGCACATGGTGGTGGAGTATGATTCAGACAAGGAGGCAGCGGCAGACGCAGGCACAGGCGACGGTGTGACCGAGACCAGCAACATAAGACAAGTTCTCATCGCAACGAGCGCCTCCGCGAGAAATGGACTAGTCGGCATAGGCGGCGTCGTGCGCAACACCGCTAGCGGAGGAGCGACGGACGATGTAATAGCAAAGTACTCCGTCACTCTTGGCCCGCGAGACGAGCAAAACGCATACACGGCCGAGCTGGAAGCGATAGCAGTAGTCCTCTGGTACATACCTGATGGTCTCCGACACCATCCGGGAGATCTACAGACATGCGAGACGACTGGAAAAGGGTGGCAACACCATTAAAATGCGCTGGGTATCGTCCACAAACGAGTCTTTCACACTGGGAGTAAAAGCTAAGGCAGAAGCACGAAAAGCCACAGACAGCGGATGCAGAGCAACGAAACCACCGTACCAGGCCCGATCGACCCGACTGAGAGTACTACTAGCACAACGTCGACAGCACATGATGCTACCTGAGAGCGTAGGCGGCTATTCGAAGCGGCTCGACAAGGCGCTGCCCGGCAAGCACACGCGCACACTATATGACGCCCTGAAGAGACGCGAATCTGACATCCTGGTGCAACTACGAACGGGAATGGCACGGGTCAACAGGTATCTGCACAGGATAAGCGCAGCGGAGACAGACATATGCGACTGCGGCCAGGAAGAAGAATCGGTCGACCATTTCCTTTTCCGATGTCCACGGTGGGACGAGCAACGAGAACACATGCGAAATGTCGACCGGGAAATGATGGGCAATCTATCATTCTTCCTGGGAGGCAAGACGGCAGAAGACGGGCATAAGTGGAGGCCGAACCTGGCAGCAGTGCGAGCAGCGATCAAGTTTGCGATAAGCACAGGCCGTTTGGATGCTACACAGACATGGAAAACATACAAGATATACTAATAAACCAAACGATATAATACAGCAAGAACTAATATAGTACAGCCTCTAGTAGACAGACCAGGCTTCAGCCGCTGAAGATGGGACGCTGAACACTTGAAGAAGCTGGCCTTCAAGCAGGCCTGTCGCAGGGACAAGCGAGGCTGGGAAATGTGGCGAGGAGTAGGGATTGGTGAGGTTTGAGGGTTATAGGGCTAGAAGTCGGAAAAGAATGTAACGAGACTTAATGTTGTGGGCCCTATGAGGCGTATCCTCCCGGGCGGAATAAATTCATTCATTCATTGTGCCCCCATTTCGGGGGATGGCCGACGTTAGAAGATGTTCTCATACCAATCTATGCATAGACAATTACAGCTCACGGTTCCGTTCATTACACATGCCGTGCACTCATCATACGTTGGCAGTAATTTCAATGTCCACAGGCCTCGGAAACCGGGGAACATAGCGATCATTCGAAGTCAAACGAATTAGTTGCGCCATACACGTCTCGGTGACGAAAGCAACCTGTACATAGGCGAAGATGTCATTAGTCCTACGATGTTGGTGTGATCAACCGTAAGCAAACAACAGGGGTAATATTAGGCTGCACCACGCCTCTGACAAGGTTTGTGGAAATATGGATTCCCTGATTGAACGGATCTGGGTTGTAGGCGGCAGGGGTGGACAAAAGATCAAAAAGTGAACCGTGCGAGCGTGCAAGTGCCATAGAATAGCCTTGACACCCATGCTGCGACTCAATCGATGACCCAGATTGAATTGATGACTACCCACCCCCGGTAGGCGGGCAGGTCGTAGCTGATGCCATTGTCGTCATCATTAATCAGAGCCTGCGTAAAAGCGGAGTCCAGACAATCATAGGTGCACTCAATAAGCAAAGAGGTGTGATTAGATTATTTTAAAGTTGTGCGCTAAGAAAAGCAAAAAGCAGGACCTGTGCGGGCGATGCCCCGGCTGGTACGGAAGGCTAGACTTCGGGTTTTTACAGGATAGAGCTGAATTCCTATGTTAAACAAAGCAACCTTGGCGTCTCGCGAATGCGGAAAACATCGATCTGGTAGTTAGAACGGTCCCCAAGAACCATGAATTCGGTTCCTCAGATCGCAATTGTCGGCGTGGGCCAGGTCGGCGGCGCCGCAGCATACTCGCTCATCCTCACCTCTTTCGCGAGCGAGTTACTCCTCGTCGACACCGATATTGATTTAAGAGACGGCCAAGTCCGGGACCTTTCCGACGTGGCCTATAGTTGTAACAGCAGCACGCGCGTGCGAGCGGCCTCGCACCATGAGGCAGCCAAGGCCGACATTGTGGTCATCACAGCGGGATCCAAGCACATGATAGGTAAGCGATCAAATAGGAAAACGCTGTTTGCTTGCGGTGATTGAGCGCGCGGGGCTCACTCTATGTTCCCTAGGCCAAACCACTATTGACTACACATCCCGGAACATGTCAATTGTTCGGCAAGTAGTCGAGACAATGAAGCCGTTCAGATCAGACACAATCCTGCTTATCGTGTCAAACCCTGTCGACCTGCTCACGTCCCTCGCCCATGAACTCTCCGGACTTCCGACATCTCAAGTCTTGGGCTCAGGCACGTTCCTAGATTCGGTGCGGCTCCGTGGGCTCGTGGCCATGCGGGCTGGAGTGAGTACACGTGGATCTTGCGCTCTCTTTCGAGCTGGGCTAATGGAATTCTAGGTCGCGGCTAATTCGATAGATATCTACGTGGTGGGCGTACACGGAAACCCCCAGGTTGTAGCATGGTCAACGGCAACGGTTGGTGGCGTCCCCATGAACAACTCGATCTCGCCCGACGTTCTTGACCGTGCCGAGCTTGCGGATGAGTGTAAGCATCGATCGCAGAGCATAATCAGAGCTAAAGGTTCGACTCCTTTCGGGCTCGGTTCTATTGTGTCCAGTTTGTGTTCATCTATCCTCTTGGACAAGCGCAATGTTCGTCCCGTCAGCCATTTCCAACCTGACTTTGGTTGTTGTTTCAGCTTGCCCGCGGTCCTCGGAAGGAAGGGAGTTATGAGTACTATTCAGATGCCGCTGGACCGTGACGAGGAGGCCCATATAGCTGAGTCAGCGAAGGAACTGAGGAAAACTATTGACTGGATCCATCGGGATTATTAAGCCAAGAGTGTCGTGCGACAGATTGGATTTTCATAGTCGTGTTGGAGAACCTTGTATACAGTGGTCACTTGTGTCAGAATTAATCTGCAATCTTTTTTTCAAGAAAAAAAAGAGAATTATCAAGATTCAAGTTTCGGCACCATGGCACCCTGTCCTGCCCCATAATACATTCTGAGTTAGTACCAAGTTACAAGCCCACACTTCAAGGTAATTCTGTGAATAGATATCGACCCATATTTGCCTCCTCATCCCACCTAGGCATCAAGCTTGCTCACTAGCTACTACGTGCCTCTTCACTGCAACAAAGCTATCGGGACTGACAGAGATAGAATCAATCCCAGCGTCGACTAGAAACTTGGCAAACTCAGGATGGTTACTCGGCGCCTGGCCACAGAGCCCAATCTTGCACCCCTTGTTGCGAGCCACCGAGATAACCTGTGCTATCATCCACTTAACCGCCTCGTCCTGCTCATCAAACAAATTGGCCAGCTCTCCCGAGTCGCGGTCTATGCCGAGCGTCAGCTGTGTTAGGTCATTAGAGCCGATGGAGAAGCCGTCAAAGTGCTCGGTGAAGTGGGCGGCTAGGATGACATTGGACGGGATCTCGCACATGACGTAGACCTGCAGGCCGTTGTCACCGCGCCTGAGCCCATTCTCAGCCATGACTTCCAGAACCTTTTTAGCCTCACCGATCGTACGACAGAAGGGGATCATGACAATGGCATTGATGAGGCCTATCTGCTCGCGCAGCCGCTTGACGGCGCGGCACTCGAGCGCGAAGCCTTCCTTGTAGCGCGGCGAGTAGTAGCGGGAGGCGCCGCGGAAACCTATCATTGGGTTGTCCTCCTTCAGCTCGAATTCGGCGCCGCCAATGAGACCGGCGTACTCATTTGTCTTGAAGTCGCTCATGCGAATGATGGCCGGTTTGGGATAAACGGCGGCGCATAGGGCCGCGAGGCCGTGCGACAGCTTATCGACGAAGTAGTCGGGCTTGTTTTCGTACCCGGCCGTCAGGCGGGTGATTTCACGCTTGGAATCTTCATCTTCCAATTGGTCATGGTGAACGAGCGCCATAGGATGGACCTGGATAGCGTTGCTAACAACGAACTCCATGCGGGCAAGGCCGATGCCGTCGGCTGGAAGTCGCCACCAGCGGTAGGCGGCCGCCGGATTGGCGAGATTGAGCATGACCTTCGTCCGGGCCTGGCGCAGCCCGGACAGATCTACCGTCTGGGTCGTGATATCCGAGATTCCCTCGTACACGAAGCCGGTGTCGCCCTCAGCACAGGAGACAGTGACATCCTGGCCGCTGTGTAGCACGTAGGTAGCATTACCAGTGCCCACTATTGCCGGAACGCCTAGTTCACGGCTGACGATGGCGGCATGCGAGGTGCGCCCACCATGGTCAGTGATGATGGCAGCGGCACGCTTCATGATGGGCACCCAGTCCGGGTCTGTCGCTTCTGTAACCAGGATCGAATTGGCCACGAACTTGCCAATGTCTTTGGCGGATTTGATGAGGCAGAGCCGCCCCGAAGCGGCCTTATCGCCGACGGAGAGGCCTGTGGCGAGAACACGTCCCTTATTGCCGACCGTGTAGGTCTTAAAGACGGCGGCGTCGCGGCGCGAGTGCACAGTTTCCGGCCGAGCCTGGACGATGAACAGTTCACCCGTAATGCCGTCTTTGGCCCATTCCATGTCCATCGGGCAGCCATAGTGCTCTTCGATGGTGCATCCCCAGCGGGCTAGCTGGAGGATCTCCGTGTCGCTGAGCACGAAGGCGTCTTGCTCCGCCTTTGACGTGGGCACGTTGCGGGTTGGCACATGTTGATCACCATAAATCATTTTGATCGCCTTTTCGCCGCGCTTCTTCTCCAGGATAGGAACAAGATTGGTATCAGACAAGAGCGGCTTGAAGACCTGATACTCGTCGGGATTGACGGTCCCCTGCACGATGTTCTCACCGAGTCCCCACGCTGCGTTGATGAGCACGACCTTGTCAAAACCGCTTTCGGTGTCGATGGAGAACATGACGCCGGAACCTCCAGCATCGGAACGAACCATGCATTGTACACCAATGGAGAGGGCGATATTTGTATGGCCGAATCCCTTGGCCTGGCGATAGCTGATTGCCCGATCAGTGAAGAGTGATGCATAGCAGCGTCGGCAGGCATTCAAGAGGGCGCGTTCACCTGAGATGTTCAAATAAGTCTCCTGCTGGCCGGCAAAGCTTGCGTCGGGTAAGTCCTCCGCCGTCGCACTGGAGCGCACAGCAACACTGGCGTTCTCAACTCCAACCTTGGCCGAAAGCTCTCGATAGCTGGCTCTGATGGCGGTTGCGGTATCCAGCGGCCAGCTACCGTGGCGGAGGAACAGACTGCGCACCGCATGGCCGGTCTCGGCAAGACTGAGATTGCCCAGCTGCCATTCAGTGATCAGGGCGTCTATCTTGCCCCGGATACAGTTGGCGTCGATGTAGTGCCAATATGCGCTCGAAGTCGTTGCAAAACCAGGTGGTACGGCAATTCCTTGAGTCCCAAAGGCTCTGATCATTTCGCCCAGGGAAGAATTCTTTCCACCAACCAAGGCACCATCGCTGCGCGACAAGTCCTTGAAGTTCAGGACCAGAGGTCCATCGGTCTCAATGTCGTTCATATTGTGGACTCTAGCCTAGAGGAGATAATGCTGGGAAATCTCATGCCAGGAGAATCCTGCTCGTGTTGCAACCGCAAGACACTCCCTGTTTATGGTCACGAGCAAGTGTGGTGCACATCAGGGACTTGCAACAATCTCCGGAGTGTTCGGGGGTCCTAAAATGGACCCCCTAAGCTTTCATGCCTCAGGTGGAGGGGGTAGGTTTAAATGGGAGACAAACATTTGGTCCACCCTGGCATAAACTACATGGCCTATGATCTGTTGTGCCTTTAGGAGGCTCTCAAGATGGAGTTTCCTTTAGTCCTTTTTCACCACCGCATGCTCATCAAATCTAGCTGAACTTGGTGGGTTGAGGTTGATCTGACCACTGACGTCACGTTTACGTCTCGCATCGAGAACCGATCTTGCCATGTACTGGACCTGTCTCCGCATCATCGTCCCCATCACGAACACATATTGTTGCAGAGTTTTAAGCCATGGTCACACGTCAGCACCATCGGAGGGGGTGGCGGGGTGAACGAAGACAGTTATGAGGGATTTCGTAGAATCACTCATTCCACTTTATGGCTGCCGTGAACTTACCACAGGTCGGGGCAAGCCGTCGTTATGCTACGATCTTCTGATAGTGAATCATGCTAATTCAATGAAAGCCTCTGCCATTCATTGAGATAATTTGACTAAAATGCTGGTACACTTAGTGGGTGAATTTGAGGCGCAATTCTGTGCTCTGGCAACCACAAACCTCACCTGTGAGCGATTGGCCTACCCAAGAAACAGGAGGGTTGCCCTGCATGATTATAAGCTGTGTCTGTGGAGGCATCAGAAGACATGGAGTGGAAGGGGCGGCTGATAGGTGGACGCCCGGAGAATAATCCAGGAAATCTAATCTTCCGGGCTGTAACAATACAATACAATACAATTTATTTCTTCCGGGCTGTAACAGACTTGCTCATAAACGCGGCTGGCTTTCAGTCTGCACAGTGAATCAACATTGGACAATTAACCTAGCTACAGAAAAGTATCACGTACAGACTGCACCGTTGTATAAGCCAGTCGAAATTTCATTTGCATCAAGATAGTTACGACCTCCTCACAATTTTACACATGAGCTAAAATTGCATCTTCATCCTTTCTTTTCATTTTCAAATCACTGTTTTGAATACCTTCTGCCTTGGGGAATACATCACTGGGGCTGGGTGTTCTGTGAAATTTTCCCGACGATATCAATTTGAAAGACCCCTCCCCTCGCATGTGTAATATCGATTACATTATATGGCCGTGTCAGTGTACCGCTCTAAGCCATGGTCTTTGCCTCAACACTCTTCTTTTTGTGTAGGCTCTTAATCCTTTTTGGGAACACGACCATTAGCTGCGGCAACAAAATGTCCCCAAGTAATCAGCTCTCTGCTACAATCGTCCTGGTGAATACTGCAATCAATAAGCGTTGGCCCATCTGTATGCGCCACTGCTCTCTCAAGGCCCTCAGAGAGCTCTCCAGAGGTTCGAGCTTCGAGTCCCAGCGCACGTGCTCCTCCGTTTTGACAACTAAATGCCTCAACCAGGCGGGAATAATCCCAATTCTGGACACGATTATACAGCCCATCGTGGATCTCCACCTCGATGGTGTAGCCTTTGTTGTTCATGAGAAGCAAGATGATAGGGACTCGGAATCGCACCATCTGTGATACTTCCTGGGCCGTCATCTGGAATGCGCCATCGCCAACCATGACAATTGTCTGTCGGTGAGGCTTTGCCAAGGCGTAGCCGAACGACGCGGGGACTGACCATCCAATATGACCCCATTGCATTTCAATCTCGAATTCAGCCCCAAAGGGAAGACTCAGCTGGAGTCCATTAAACCAAGAATCACCAGTGTCAGCAAAGACAATAGTCTGTGGGTTTAGGCTCAGTAAAGCCTGCGTCTGCCGACCAATCTCCTTCCTAGTTAACTTCTCGGGGCCGCGAGAAGGCTGCCCCAGAGGTGGATCAGGACGCAGTCGATTGTACTCGATCATGGTGTTGTCGTTCCAACAAACTGTTTCAGATAGCCTGGACAGAAAGTCACGCATCTGAACATGACAGCAGTAGAGCTTTGAAGCCACAGTCACGCTATTCATGTCGACAACGAGTTGAGGAACACTGGGCAAAGCCGTCCATCCAACAGTGCTGTAATCCGTGAAGACGGTGCCAACGCAGATGAGGAGGTCCGCCCAGTTGACGATGGCATCAGCTGCCAGGGTGCTGACCTGGCCCCAGAAGATTCCTGCAAACTGAGCATGGTCCTCGGGAAATGAACCCTTCGCCGCTGGTTGAAGAACTACAGCGCATCCAATGGCCTCGGCCAACTGAAGCAGAGCGTCTTGTGCCCTGGCCCTGCGAACTTTTGGTCCAACGAGAATGACGCACTTCTGCTTCGCGCTGATACACTCGGATGCCTTAGCTGCAGCAACATCAAGTGTGTGCTGGTCACTTGGGACTGATGCAACGACAGAGCTGACAGGTCCAGGACGGACACATGGTTCACCGGCCAGGTTAGTCGGCACTTCGATATATACCGGTTTCTTCTCCGAGAGAGCCGCCCGAATAGCACGGTCAATAAGCTCAGCAGCATGAGCGGCTTGACGAATACGCACCGCGCAACAGGTGATCTTTCTGGCCATCTCAAGCTGGTATGTCGTGTCCCCTTCACCGAGAGTGTGGTGTAGTATACGTTGGCCCACGTCGTTGGTATTGGGTGACCCACTGACGAGAATGACGGGAAGATTCTCGGCATAGGCACTTCCAATGCCATTAAAGGCAGAGAAGGCGCCTACGCTGTAGGTGACTACACAAACACCAACTCCATTGCCACGGGCATAGCCTTCGGCAGCTAGAGAGCAGTTCAGCTCATTAGTGCAGCCGACCTCGGTTAGCGACGGATGCGCCTCGAGCTTATCGAGGAGGATGAGATTGTAGTCCCCTGGGACAATGAAATGATGACGGATTCCGACCTGCACAAGCCTTTCGGCCAGGTAGTCACCGACCGTGAACGGCGACATGATAAAAGACGTGAAGACTTGTGAATTTCAGTTGCTGGAATGTATCTTCCTTCAATGAAAATGAGAAAGCTAGCCCATCGCAGTCACGCTTTGCCTGATGACTCCGACGACTTCCCCTCTTATCAATCTATTGTGGACGCCATTCCCCTATAGAGCCCACGAAATTACGAAAATTATCACAAAGCATCATAATAAGCTCATGCTTGCAGTCGTATCATCAACTAGCTGACTCTACTCAACCTATCAGCGCTATCAGCTGGGTGATCTGACCATCGACTGCTGTAACAAATATGTGCGTCTTATGGATGGCCCCGGGTGCTTACTGGCAGAGTAAAGCCACTTGAAATCCTTCCTGTGAATGTTTGCTTATTTTTCCGTTTCCGCTCATGGGCTTCAGAGCTGCAGTCACTTTATGCCACTTTAAAGTTTGAGCCACTGCGATAGTCAGATCATGGTAGTATGATACGCACTTGGCTGAATAGATGTGTTGCCATCAATTTTCGCACGGTATTGACCTGTGTATGACACAGATAATATACTTGACGTATCGCCGGAAGCCACATGCAATGCATGGTATCACAAGTTAGAGTTGCAACGACTTGACACGAAGTACTGCAACCCACCCGACGTGATTCAAAGTGATGTAGTGTTGAGCTGTTTCTCATGTATATTACTACAAACGGCTGCGACAGCATGTTAGCTAAAACTCAACCGTGTGGTGACGTGTGCGAAAGGTCATAGAACATAGATTCGGATGGACAATGGAGTCCCTAACATGCTAATGTCATCAGACAATGAGCACAAACCATGACAGTCACACAATGTACCTTCAAGTCAGATTATCAACGGAAACCTTCGCTCTTAGCCCTCGACTACTTGTCTTGAGCGATGATCGCGAGCGCTAACCTCGGGTGTCTCTTAAAAAGGCCACATATTCCAACGAACTGGAATCCCACACAAATCATGGCTTATGCATTTTCTCTGGTGACAAAGAATTCCATCATGAGTGACGATTGGACTCCTGAACCTCTGGTTCTTGAATTCGAGCATCTGGCTCGCAGCGATGTCGGCTTAGTAGGCGGCAAGAATTCTTCACTGGGTGAGATGATACGAGCCCTCGGCCCAAAAGGGATTCCAGTACCACCAGGTTTTGCCACATCCTCCTACGCATACTGGCATTATGTTGATACCAACAATATTCGGGGCAAGATTGACGAACTCGTCGTTGAGTGGCAGTCGGGTCATCAGACCCTTGCCGAGACAGGCCATGCAATCCGCAATCTGTTTCTTCGCGGCACCTGGCCAGCAGATACCGCAGAGGCTATCTTAACTGCCTATCGAGAGCTTTCCTCCAAGGCCAAAGTCGACAAGCTAAGCGTTGCTGTCCGCTCCAGTGCAACAGCTGAGGACCTACCTGACGCCAGCTTCGCCGGTCAGCAGGAGACGTACTTGAATGTCCAGGGTGAAAAAGCGCTCTTGGATGCCTGCCGACGATGCTATGCCTCTCTCTTCACCGACCGAGCCATTAGCTATCGCCAGATCAAGAAGTTTGACCATACAAGCGTCGCCCTGTCTATCGGTGTGCAGCAGATGGTCCGTTCCGACCTCGGAGGCTCAGGTGTAATGTTCTCCATTGACACTGAGAGCGGATTCGACAAGATCGTGCTCATAAATGGCGCATGGGGTCTTGGAGAGAACGTTGTACAGGGCACTGTCAACCCAGACGAGTATCAGGTTTTCAAGCCCCTCTTGTCTGATAAAAACCTATCGCCAATCCTGAGCAAGAAATGCGGTGACAAGTCGATCAAGATGGTGTATGGGGATCGACATACACCCACACGCAATGTTCCCACGTCCAAGGCAGAACGAGCTTCATATGTGCTCAAAGATGAAGAGATCCTCCAGCTTGCCCGATGGGCGTGTCTGATTGAAGAGCATTATGGATGCACCATGGACATGGAGTGGGCGAAAGACGGTGCGACTGGCAAGCTCTTCGTCGTCCAAGCCCGTCCAGAGACCGTCCAGTCGCGTCGTGACACTGCTGTCTTCAAGACCTACAAGGTCGGTGAAAGGGGCCACACACTCACTACTGGGCTTTCCATCGGCGATAAAGCCGTAGCAGGTCGTATCTGTCTCCTCACCTCTGTCACTGACATGGATAAGTTCGTCGATGGCTCTATTCTCGTGACCGAGGCGACCGATCCCGACTGGGTGCCCGTCATGAAGCGTGCTGCTGCTATCATCACCGACCAAGGCGGCCGTACCTCTCATGCCGCCATTGTCAGCCGCGAACTCGGTGTGCCAGCTGTAGTGGGCACTGGAAATGCCACCTACGTGCTGCACACTGGCCAGGACGTTACTGTGTCTTGCGCAGAGGGAGATACTGGCCTGGTGTATGAAGGCATCTCTGATATTACTACTGAGACGGTTCATGTATCTGAGCTACCCGCTGTCCGCACCAAGGTCATGCTCAACCTTGCCAACCCATCATCTGCATTTCGCTGGTGGCGTCTTCCAGCCGATGGCATTGGACTTGCTCGCATGGAGTTTGTCGTCAGCAACGCGATCCAGGTACATCCCATGGCTCTCATTCACTTTGACCATCTCAAAGATGAAGAAGCCAAGCGGACTATTGAACAACTGACAGCGGGATATGCCAAAAAGCCCGACTACTTCGTCGACAAATTAGCCAGCGGGCTGGCAACTCTCTGTGCCGCTGTATATCCCAAGCCGGCTATCATCCGCATGAGTGATTTCAAGACAAATGAGTATGCTCGTCTCATTGGCGGCGCCGAGTTTGAATTAAAAGAGGAAAATCCAATGATAGGCTTTCGTGGAGCCTCGCGTTACTACTCACCACATTACAAGGAGGGATTCGCACTCGAATGCCGAGCCATAAAAAGGGTGCGCGAGGAGATGGGCCTCACTAATGCCATCGTCATGATACCTTTCTGCCGAACAATCAAAGAAGCCAGAAAGGTCCTTGATGTTATGGCCGAGAACGGCCTCAAGCGAGGGGAGAAGGGTCTCAAAGTCTATGTCATGTGCGAGATCCCGTCGAATGTGATCCTGGCTACCAGCTTCACCAAGCACTTTGACGGCTTCTCCATCGGGTCCAACGACCTGGCCCAACTTACCCTCGGCGTAGATCGTGATTCGGGTGAGCTGGCTCATTTGTTCGATGAGCAGGACGAGGCTGTCAAATGGATGATTGCAAGGGCGATTGAAGTAGCCCGCAAAGAAAACTGCAAGATTGGTCTCTGCGGAGAAGCTCCCAGTAATCATCCACAGTTCGCCAAGTTTCTGGTTGATGCTCGCATAGATTCAATCTCTGTCAGCCCTGATAGCTTCGTTCAAGTGATGAGGCACGTTGTAGCTAGCGAACAGGCATGATAATTTGTTCCTTGGGTAGCTTGTTAATTGAAAGTATTATGCATTTGCTTATGAAGCATTGAATCGTCAGTCTTAGTTCATGGAATGTCATTGAACTGAATTACATTGGCACCGACCCTAACAAAATATTATGACGGCTCAAAACATAGAGTTATGTGCATGGGACCTAGATCTAATTTCACTAATTATGTCCCGCGCTTAGAACGAGATGTTAAAATGGAGCGTTATATAACAAGACTAATCGACTATGAGATTCCATCGAAATGATTTTAAAATAATTACTTGCAAGTGTGACAATTCCCCAGACACAATGTTCCACTACCACCAATCCTTTTGGATCCACTCAATCCTGTCCTTCAAGTGCTTCGCTGATGCTGCTATAGCTGCCTGCTCCTGATCGTCCAACGACAGGTGCATGGTGCTCAGAATTCCTTTCCTTCCAATGATAGCAGGCATGCTCAGACAGCAATCGAACTGAGGTTGGAAATGGCAGACAGGGTTGATTTCACTCTTGTCCAAGAGAATAGAACAGCATAGGTTTGCAGTTATAGAAGCAATTCCGAATGGGGCCGAGCCTTTACCTCGGATGATGACTTGGGATCGATGCTTGCAGATGCTGTCGATTCTTGTACGATCAAGAGAGCTAAACATCTGGACCTCAGAAATGGGGACTGCACCAACAGTTGCCATCGACCATGCAGTAACTTGCTCTTCTCCGTGAACACCAACCACAAAAACACCTATGGAAGAGGGGGAGACCTGAAAGATAGTTAATTAGCCACCAGAGGCGGGAACAAAGGGTGCTGCAGTGGTGAGTACTCACCGAACCTCGAGACGCAACCATTCCGCGTAGCCTGGAAGTGTCCAGAGAGGTTCCTGAACCTATGACTTGTGACTTGGGAAGCCCAGACATTTCCTGAGCGATGGAAGTGAGCAGATCAACAGGGTTTGCAACGACGAGCAAAATAGTGTCGGATCGGAAAGGCTTCATTGCATCCATGACTTCCCGGATCATGGAGGTGTTCCGAGATGTGTAGTCGGCAGTGGTTTGGCCTATAGGAAGCAAAGTGAGCATGAAAACCGAGAGATTAGAGATGAGTATGACTATTGTCCATCCCCTACCTAATGTGTGCTTGGATGCGGCGGTGATGACCACGATATCACTCTGGGCCGGCTCCCGGTACGTGGCAGGTCGCACTCGTGTGCTTCTGCCAGTGCTGTAGGCCACATCCGAGAGATCTTCGACTTGAGCGTTTCTCAAGGTCAAGTCAAGGTCAACGAGAAGCAACTCGCTGGCGATGGAGCCCAGTGTTAGATTGTAGGCGACGGCCCCGCCAACTTCGCCGACGCCGATGATTGCGATAGGAGAACTCGAGTCCATTGTGTGATTAGGTAAAAGAGGTTAGTTCTCTCGTTCAGCTACACATCCTCTTGGAGTTTGCCTGAGTTTGATGCTGTTCCTTATAAATAAGGCGAATGTCAGGCTCTTGGTAGTGAGATGAGTGGCGCAAATAGAGTCCAAGCACGTTACATGTTTTGTTGTGTGTTCTGATGTTTTACCTTCGTCACACCAGGATAATATGCAACTGTGGCGTTCGGGTGTACAAGGGACGGATGGACAGACACATTCTAGGGCTTGGGGGAAACTAAGGAGACTGCCATCGAATCCGTCCAAGATTTACTCTATGTGGGGTAATTGGTGTTTAGACAGAAAAGCAACAACATCAGATGATCATTCACGTTGGCTGCGGTGGTGAATACAGTTGTAGATATTTTAAGCACTGATCTGATCGATGCACAAGACCAACTTGTATGCCTCGTATTGCTGCATCGAGACTCAAGCCGACCGCACTTGAACGTTGGCGCAGCCTTTGGGTTGTCACACGATATACCCTCACATGATGATGATACCACTGTCAGTCTAATAACCAATGCACCATCATATCATATTAAATGATATAACGTCACATCCAATTCATCTAAGTTAGCCACTGCAATCCCACGGCCTCGTGTAAGAACATGTAACCTCAGTATTGGAACACTTCTGTACCCTATCTTTAGTATCAACAAGGGCACTGTTACATCATACAAGCTGAGTGTTGGTCTCCTATCACCAACATCACTAACTAGCCAGCCCGAGTACACGCAGTCTCAGCATCACGAAGAGCAAGTATAAATCAACCTCTTCATCTTCACATCTCGATTCCCTGTCTCATAATCACAAGTCAACAAAACAATTCTCTCGCTATCAAATCACTCTACCAATTGTTTCAAATCTTCCTCTTCCTAAACCGCTATTATCAATTTATCATGAAGGTCAATGCTGTTCTCGCCGCCGCCTTCGTTGCCCTTGGAGCTGCCACTCCCGCTCCTAAAGGCTGTACTCCGGGAACCTACTCATGCACACCCGACACCAAGGGCTGGCAGGTCTGTAACGTTGACCGCTCCTGGGTGGTAAGTCTTCCGTTGCCTTGTGGCCCCTTAAAGATATGTTAACGTTTTGCTTTAGTTCGCCGGCGTTTGCCCTCCCAAGACTGGCTGCCTTTTCAACAAGCAGAATGGCTCGCCATACTGCGTACCCCCAGGTTTCCACTTTTAACCTGTCTTGATGAAACTCACCTGGTGTTGATGAGTGTCACGTTTGAGGACAGCAATCAAGTTCTGTCGAGATTCATCGTTGCATCGTTCTTCAGGTTCACAAACACGCGTTTTATGTTTTGGTATCTCGTTTGATTATATTGAAGGAGTCGGTTCTTCTTTTGGAATGCAACTGTCGATAGGTGTTGTTCTTTTGTGACATGTTATGAAGGTCTGGGTTGGAAGCCAGTCGGCCAGTATACGAATCGGCTGATGAAGTTAGTTACAAGCATCTTGTGTTTTGAAGGCTATTCTAGCATCATTTCATTTTTTGTTTCTTGCAAAGTTTCTTGCAAATATTCTTAGTAATTATTTTGCTGCTTGATAGCTACTCACCTATGCAACCAAGACTTTGGTGCGATGAGAAGTTAGATGTATGGCATGATCGTGATCAAATTAGGTCTCTGTCTGAACTCAAGCGATGCATGAAGTGTGTAATTACGTCTACGAAGCTTTCCCTGTATTCACTCTGTATGCGCTTGTAGATACCCTCATTTTGTGCTTACTCAGTCTGGTGGCCCGTATCTGCGCATGATCAAGCTCGAAATTCTGAAAGATTCAAATTTGGGTCAATTGAGACTGTGCTGATGAAAAAGGTGGTAGTGGCTTGCATGATGTCTGCTTGACTGGCCTTGCCTCGCTACAAGCAATTGCGGGGGCATCATAGTATGGTGTCCGTTATTTGCGACGACCTTGGTTACGCCCAATCTAACTTGGCCCTTTTCACGATAGACTGTGCGATCAAAACTGCCAGACTTTCAGTGACACGACGGGCTCGAGCCAAAATTGGCAAGCAAGCTAAGAATTGGTGCTACGGAGCTCAGGCGCACCTTTGACCCGGTAGCCTCGGATACTGTACACCCAAGAAATAACCCGACCGAGTTCAGCTCATGCCACTCAAATGTCATTCGCAGACGTGAGATTGAACATGGCGGAAGGCCACCAAAACGGTCGCTGACGCTGATAGCGTGATGTTTAGTTCAAAATCTGCTCATGTTGTTAACGGATTGGTGAATGGAGCGTGAGATTCTTGATGACCCCAAAGCTACACATTGTTCACCATCTTATTCGTTGACTCTGAGTGCCCCTGACGACCCCCCCGGGGTCATCTTTCAAAGCTTAGCCAGAGCTTTGAGGGAATCTCTAGCTAATGTTACCTCGCCTCGGTTGCAGGATTATTCCCAGAGGACAGAAGGTGGCAGCGGAATCGCTTAGATTGTGTTGATAGTTGAGAAACTAGTGGTCAATTTTGAGGTATTTGAGTACAGACTTCCAGCTCTTCGCCATGGTGCAGGAAACGGGCTTGGTAGAGTCAATACCGGTACAAGACTGAGAAGCAAGGACTTGGCCATAGATAGTGTCAACCAACTGGACTGGCGGAGAAGGCTGGGCGATGATGGTGGCGGCAACGACAGTGTTGGGGCTTAGGTACTTGTAGCCGACGCAATAATCCGTAATAACGCAACCAGTCGTGGTCTCAGGAGCGTGAGAACCGGGCTTGGCAATGTCACGATGGTCTGGCCAGGGAAGAGCTGTAATTGCCAGATTAGATTGAAATTAAAGATACTGCAGATGAGAAACTTCAAGACAGCCTCAGGAAGATGGCGACCCGAATACCTCCATGCGAATTCGTTTCTCGCCAACACCTAGATCCCGAAGTGCCTTGCTCTGAGTATTCATAAACGGCGGTAGCCCACAGATATAGTAATCCGCTCCTGGCAGAACCACCTTATCCTTAACCTCCGCGAGGTTCACGCGCCCCTCGTGATCGTAATCAAGCCCCAGTATATCGCCTTCTTCAACTTGCTCATAATAAACAAGTCGGGTGACTTCGGGGTTGTCCCTGGCAATATCGATGAGGGTATTTTTCATTGCATGGACACGTGAGTTGCGTGCAGCATGGATGAATACTACTGTTCTTGACTTGCCCTCCTCAGTTATCTTCTTCAGCATTGCCATCATAGGTGTCAGTCCAACTCCTCCGCTGATAAGTACCACCGGCGTTGTAGCATTGACGTCCAAGATGAAATCACCAAAGGGCATACTGATATCCATTTCCGACCCCTCCGGCAGCGACTCGTGAAGGACATTAGATACTCGGCCAGCCGGCTTTCTGTCCGATGCAAATTCTCTTTTAACAGAGATTTGGAAAAACTTTCCATTTGGCACGTCAGACAGACTATATTGGCGGGGTTGATATGTCCCAAGCTCAGGCACAAAGCATCGGATGCTGACAAACTGGCCCGGCTTGTAGGAAGGTAAAGCACCCTTGTCGGCTGGCGTGAGATGGAAGGAGATGATCTCTTTGCTCTCTTGCACTTTATCAGAGATGAGAAATTTGCGGCACCCTTTCCAACCGCCGGGTGACGCCATGGCCTCATGATACAGTCCTTCCTCAAAAGTGATGAAATACTAGGCAAGCTGCCAGTATGCAGCGTTCCAAGTATCCATGACCTGTGAATTGACTCCGTCCCCGAGGACTTGCTTGATCGCCGAGAGTAACCCTTGGCCGACTATGGGATATTGGTCCGCAGTGACCCCCAAGCTCGCATGTTTATGTCCAATGCGGGAAATGGCTGTCTTCATGGCGTCGGGGTTCTCGATATTGACGGCATATGCCCACACGGCGTGCGCGAGGGTGGCTGGCTGCTCGCCTGTATCTTGATGGGCCGTGTTAAACATGTTCCTGAGCTCAGGGTGTTTGTCGAGCAATTGACGATAGAAGAGCGTCGTAATTTCGACGCCGTGCTTTTCTAGTGCGGGGATGGTTGATTGGACTATTTTGGTCTGCTTCGGAGTCAGTGTGCTCGAGGCGTACGCTCTTCGATGCAAGTGAAATAGCGCCCGACGTCCGGCATGCCAGATGATGGTCCGAGCCAGCATGTTGACTGATTTTGATCTGATTACAATGGCGATTAATTCGTTCCTTTCAAGGTCATCTGAAGCTGCTGCGGGGAGACGCTTTATAGGTGGCATAGCGTCCAGAGACGTCCAATGGACTGTCATATGATGGAAGCATAATTTTGGGCATTACACATGTATGACCTAACTACATTCATCCCGGAATGACTCGTGCCAGGGGCTCACTTTTCAATTACATTATTGAGCACAGCAGGTGGATGATAAGTTTTGTGGCAATGACTATCCGTACGTCGTCTCGCTGCCTGGGCAAGAAGAAACCCAAGAAACAGAGGGTCATGCGGCAGTACTAACCTTGTAATAAATTTCGAGCCTGACCCTAAATAATAGGATTTGTGGAGCAGGTTAAAGAGAAATTAATTTTGACCCTATGCTTGTCCTCTTCTGGTCGCGCAAACGGCCCTATTCTGCGCGGTGCGCAGTCCATACCTTTTCCTTATTGACACCTCATCAGAATATTCTACCTACTCGATTGCGTCTGGATCATACTTTATAATCACTTTCTCCCCTAGCGAAAGAAATGTCCTGATTATTTCCCAAACTACGCGGATGGTGAGCTTTATTGGTGAGATTATTCACCCCAGAAGCGAAGACCTCGGATCAACTTCAACTACTAAAGCCGTGTAACGTACACGATAAGCAAGTGGATCAGACAAGCGAGTGGATCAACCCACTTTTCACCTTAAAAGCTATTTTTTAAATAATTCTTAAAAATCGAAATTAAACTTAAAATGGCTACGATTTTAATAGCTTATATATAAGTCCTAAAATAAGCTATATTAATTTCCCTACATTTTTAAAAAAAATCCTATATAGCTATAAACCTTAAAGTCTACTTACACTGTAAAATACACTGTATTTTAAGGTTTTCTATATAAAAAGAAATATTTAAAAATATTTAAAAAGTACTTACTTATATAATTAACTATACTATTTTAGGAAATAATTTTATTAGATTTTTAGCTAATTTATTTAAGCTCTAGAATACTATAGGGTAAGCTATTATTAGCTGCACAGTATGCTGATCCACTCGCTTGTCTGATCCACTCGCTTATCGTGTACGTTATCTTTTTGCGATTGTGTTGAACAGGTGCTGGGGTCTCACGTGCAAGCAGGGATATTTTAAGATTACAACCGAAATGGTAAAACCTCTAAGGGGCAGAATTCAACAGAACACAACATGAATACACACCAATTCACATCAATGAACCGAATACACGTAATGTCTGACAGATTGGGTCACTCGTTAACTGCCTCTATGCCTACGTCACATACATTATAATCAAGACCCCCCTAATATGCACGTCACAGTGTAGACGCATTATGTCGGCTTGTGCAGGTATACATTGTGTCGTATCACCTATTATCCTTAGGTATACACTAAGGATTCTAGGCAGCTAGTTTAACGTTGCAATTAAAACTATAGGTCTGTCAACCACAATTATGCTCCACCGTGTTCAATTTAGAGATGTCTTTCAAGCTTCTACGCCGGTTCATAATGTTCTAGCTAAGAGAACCAGATTCTAGTGAGTCGACGTTCTTAGCCTCGGTATAACAACGTGGGAGTCGTTCCTCATCAGCGGAGTATGGACAATTGGCCTCTTCCCTCGCCATATCGTAAACCCATCTCTCATTAGGTTGCAAAGAGGCCTTGCCGTATTTTTGAGCTCCAAGATCGGCCAACTTGGAAGCTAGGTAGAACCAACACAAGGCATTACTGACTGTGCCAACTTCGTCAGATACGCCCGTCCTTGCAGCATGACTCATTCTTTCGTATAAATCATCATTAGTGAACAGATTCATAAGGTGATGAGCAACAGCCCTCCAATCACCAGGCTCAACAAGGAATCCGTTGATTGAATGCTTGACCTGAAGAGGAATACCGCCTGCCTTTGATGCGACGACTGGCCGGCCAGCATGTAATGCTTCTGAGACCTTCACCTCGAAGCCCTCACTAGTTGAGAGTTGGAGGACAACGTGGGCTTTAGAAATCAGTGTGTTGAGTAACTGATCATTTGGATCTAGACGCATCACACTGATGTCCTCCATGAGTTCAGGGCAAAGCGACATTATTTGATTGAGCGTTTGATCGTAGACAATGCTAGAGTCAGGATCATCAATAGATTGATTACCGCACAGGACAAGCTGAGGAGTATCCTTGATGTCGGCTACTTTGCATTGGCGGCGAAACTCGGCATATGAATCTATCACTGTTGGAATACCCTTTGAGGGATCGAACCGGGCGACTTGAATGATGTACTTGCGCGCCGGCCAGTGCAGTTCGGTCCTTTGCTATAGTTAGCAGTCTTGTTTCTCAATGTGCCCGGAAGAGCTTTGTATGTACATACATTCTTTGTGCGTGGCAATTAGCATTGTAGATGTTCCCATAGTACCCAATATCCCAATCCTTTAAAGGCTTGTTTAAACCATCGAGCCAGTCTGTGGTAGCCGGCATATAGGCTATTTTTGATCTGGGGACTGTATGAGGAACAAATAAAGGAATTGGGTGGCTGATATACATGTCCGCCAGTTGTATGTTGCTCCACAAGAATTCCCAAATATCAGCCTGGGCCGAGCCGTCTTTAGCAACTAGGTCACTCCTGATTTGGATGTGAGAGCGATACAGAACTGGCCGATCGGGAGTAAACCTTTTGATCAGAGGAATTAAACCTGGCATTTGTGGGTCATCGATCTGTTGTGCAAAGGTCAATGTGAGCTCTACCAACAAACTGATTGCAGAGAGTAGAGGGGGGAAGAAGTTGAACCCCTGAGCGTGAAACAAGGAAGATACTGACAATTATGACATGAGCACCACCTTCCTCCATTGGGCGTAGTGGGCCGGACTCCGAGAACCAGTATCGATATGCATTTTCGGTAATCCAATGGATGACGACCTCCTTTTCCTCAGCAGTGATGCGCTGGCTGGGAGGACTCACTCCCTGCAGGACATTGTGGATATTCTTGGTAATTCTGAGTGCACTAGGAAGCGGTTTTGGAACTATCGCAACCATCAGCAACGTTGACAATACATATATTGAGCCATATTCCAGGCTTTCAGGTAAAGCTTACCATACCAAGACATGTCAACCCCTATTCGACGAGCAAAGCGGATTAGTGCATGACGCATCAGCGCCACGCCGCCACCTTGTGGAGTAGAACTGAAAAATGCGACACGAGTCTTGTTGCAACGTAGTTTCTCTGCATAGGTCATCATTGTCTTCCAGGTGGGGGCGCCACATGTGTCTTTGTAGTTCTGAAGAGTCGTTAAAGTGGCCTGAAACCCAACATCAGTCTGGACAAAACCGCGAAAGCCAACTTGCAGAATAGGAGCTTGAGAAGGCCCAAAGTACCTAAGGTGAGGTCAGTGGCCCATTTCCATCATCTTCGATGTTGTCTACTCACATAACGCATTTTCGAACCATTGAATCAGCCTGTTCGTCAACACGTTTCACATTCCAGAAGTTCTTTTCGCCCTTCCTGTCCTCTTCATCCTCATCCTCATCCTCTCTCCCAGCAAGTACCGTAATCGGGACAATATCCAGATCTAGCCACAAGCGAGAGCATAGCGTTTTGCTTACACTCCTAAGCGTAGCTGGTAGACCGGCTCCGATGAACTTGGCAAAATTCTCGTGCTCATAATCCTCAACCTCTTTGAGGACGTAGTCTGCAATGACATCTCGACCAGTCGCTTGACTGTCGTTGAGGTCAAGGTGCTTGACGGAGAAGTCGGTGAGGTAGACACCATCGTTGATGGCTAAGGCAATGAGTGCAGTTTGGTCGTTTGAGAAAGCCGCTGATATACCAAGGTATAGCCTCTGACGCACCGGTCGAGATTAGTATAGAGAATGACTGGTCCAACAATGAGAAGTAGCTTACCGTGAGAGCCGGACTAAACTGACCTTCCTTCTCAGCAGCGCTACTTAATCGCCGTTTGCGATGTACCGAAGTAGTCATGGAGAACTTTCGACCATGTTTGAAGGCCATGATGGATTGAATGAAGGGGCGAAGGCTCTTAGGTCGACTCGACTGTCCAGCATGAAACTTGGAGGGAGATTCATCGTTGAGGCGAGAGGGCTCTTCAAAGAAAGGAGGGATTGGTAGGCCATTTTCTGTACCGGTCGAGGCTTTTGGAGCCAGAATATGACTAGGTTCAGCTGTTAACTGTCCGTACTGCGTTGCAGCATTAAGGGAAGCAGCTCGGTAGGGTTGAGCCTTGGGCTCTTCCCGTTGAAGAGGTTGATTTTGTCCCGACATTATCGAATTAGCTGTCCAGTATCACTTGGTTGAAAAATACTCGTACTCCCTATAACTTCTGCATAAAGGCTGTTTGTAAAGTGTTCTTTGAGATCTAATTGAGATGGATTAGAGATTGTGGACGGTAAGGTGAACAAAATAATCGGGTATGAATTTAGATGGTAGAGGCACACGATAAGCACATAAAGTCAGCATGGGCATATGAACAAACAAAATCATATGATTGCCATTAATAATGTGGCTAGCTAGTATAGAGAACACAGGGTTAGATACAGTTAACCAGTGTCGTGGCTGCCTGAGAGCGCCATTCACATGGCAGTATTCAGTCGGGATGATCTGACGTCGTAAAGTTAAATAAATAAAAAAAGCGCTTATCGGTATGGTGGTGACCGACATATCCACTCAACTGGTCCTGCTGTGTTTCTAGCACGTCATGCTACCAAGACTGATATCCCATTTTGTAACATGGCAGAGTGAAGGTAATCTCATTAGCGGAGATAAGAAGCGGGGTCATGCATATACCGCACGCCCGAGAATTCATCAAACAATGAAAACAGGTGACATATGACACTAGCAACATGGTGTGGACTCACTGGGCATAATGCAGATTACATTACTCGAAAGTGATTCATAGACTTGAAATTGAGTTTAGCGGGCGGCCATAGTGGCGTAAGCTGGCACGTGAGGCTTTCCTCTGCATACTGCTGATAACGTGAGTGTCAGCTCATGGCATGCATATGTCATTAATGTACTAATGCTTGGGAGTTTGGAGATTCTGAGCGGACCTTCAACCCATTGCTGACAGCTCCTGCTGATGTGCCAGAACGATTCTTCGGAGGCTGACCAGAGCGTCGAGGACAGCCGCCTAACCTCATATTGCTGCGGCTGTGATTACTGCCTAGTAATAGTAGATTGCAGCGACATCAATTAGATAGCGTTGATAGTTCCAGTCTCTGGAAAAGTTATTGATCAATTTGAAGATATTTGGATGTTGACTGCATCAACTTTAGCGTCAAGCCGGTGATGGACGGTGCAGAGAAAAGTAGTCCCCCATGCATCTTGATATGCACATCGGGTGTTGTTCGACATTTCAATGTTGAAAATAACTTGCATTTAAGCAGCTGAAGAATTGAATACTTGAATACAACTTAAGTGATTTACTTGACAATCAGTTCCCCAGCAGATACTTTCCTTGTTCGGTGAAAAGGACGGAAGCAAAATGAAGCTAAAAAAATAACGTACACGATAAGCAAGTGGATCAGACAAGCGAGTGGATCAGCATACTGTGCAGCTAATAATAGCTTACCCTATAGTATTCTAGAGCTTAAATAAATTAGCTAAAAATCTAATAAAATTATTTCCTAAAATGGTATAGTTAACTATATAAGTAAGTATTTTTTAAAGATTTTTAATTATTCTGTTTCATATAGAAAACCTTAAAATACAGTGCATTTTACAGTGTAATTAGACTTTAAGATTTATAGCTATATAGGATATTTTTAAAAATGTAGGGAAATTAATATAGCTTACTATAGGACTTGTATATAAGCTATTAAAATCCTAGCCATTTTAGGTTTAATTTCGATTTTTAAGAATTATTTAAAAAATAGCTTTTAAGGTGAAAAGTGGGTTGATCCACTCGCTTGTCTGATCCACTTGCTTATCGATGGTGCCCGCAATTACGTCGTAATTCGCTTAGACCACGTGACAACTTATCCACCGCAAAAGGCGGCCCGTGAAATCGTGTGCGCGACGCCTGATAAGTGCGTTTGATAAGTCCCCGCAACTTATCTAGCTCCGGACGGAAAAACGACACCACATAGAAAGGCCTCGATCGACCGAGATGGCCGCAGACGACTCGTACACGGCCGCAGACGAGCGCGCCCGCGCCGCCCGGAGGGCGGGCCTCCAGGCGAAGAAGGACGAACAGCCGGCGAACACGGCGCGGAGTTACGCTGCGAAGCAGCGGGAGTGGAAGGCGCGTCCTCCCCGGCCGCCCCCCTCTCTTCCCCCTTTCCCTTCCCTCTTTTTACGCAGGAGCCCCATGGACGGCTAACAGACGAAAACCTATAGGCCTGGTGCCGTACGCCCCGGCCTGCGGCAGACGGCTCACTCTATAGCTGGCCCGACGGCGAGCTCGTAACGCCGGACAAGCTAGCGGCGTGGCTCAAAGAGGATATCCTCTTACGACGCGTAGCGCCGCCGCAGAAGAAGCCACGGGCACGGGCACGGGCACGGGGTAAGGGTAAGGGTAAGGGCAAAGGCAAGGCGGTACAGTTACGGCAGCAGCTTGAACAGGAGCAGCTCGAGGCCGCGGCCCTGGCAGAGGCCGAAAGCCTAGCCGAAGCCCTTGAGGTCCCCCTGGTCGAGGCCGCCGAGCTGCTCGCGGACGACCGCGAGGGCTACGTGCCACCCACGGCCCTTGCGCCGGCTGCAGCAGACCTTTCCGAAGGATCTCTGCTTACGAAGGGCACTATCGACGCCTATATCGCGGCCGTTATCGAGCTCTGGCGGCTCCAGGTAGCCCACGGTAACGCGAACACGGAGAACCCCAGGGGCGCCGCCGTACGGGGCTTCCTTGAGCAACGGGGCCGACAGCGGGGGAAGCACGACCGCGCCTCCTTTAAAGACCGCGGAACCGACGGGATCCAGGCCGGCTATTCGCACGATGAATGGCTCCGGATCCAGGATCTCCTTCTCAGCGGGGCCGCATACATGCCGCAAAACCTCCGTACGCGAGTCGACCTCCTATTCGGCCACTACTACCTCCTACGAGGGGAGAACCGCCGTAAGATGGAGCTTGCGGACCTATCCCTACTCGACTATCCGTCTTCAGAAGGCCCGACCCCCTGTGGCTGCCTCGTGACCCTTCTGCGAGACGGTAAGCTGAACAAGACGGCAAAGAAAGAGTTCATGGGCGCCCTCCGGCATAAGGACCCCTTGCTCTGTACGCAAGGGGCTCTGGCACAGCTCTTCTTCTGGCGCTGGCACGTCGCCGGCGAGTCGCCCCCGTCCTTCCGGCGCCGCCAGGACTGGTATCGGATCAAGGCCCTTGTTGGACGGGACCGCGAGCAGGAGCTCTCGTACCCGACGCAGCTACAAGAGACCTGGCGTATCTTCGGCGCCGCTGGCCTTGTCGCGTCAAAGAAGACTCACCTCCCGCGCAGGGTAGGCGCCCAGGACGCTGAGACCTACGGCACGTCGCTCGCACAGATCTCGCAGGCCGGCCGCTGGAACCAGAGCGTGCTTTGCCAGGCCTATCTTACGCACCTACCGCGCCAGTTCATGCGCATCGTCGCCGGCTTCTCGGCGTCGCCGGGGGACTACTTCCTCGCGCGTGCGGCTAATGAACCCCCGTACGTCTTACAAAAGCAGCTCTGGCCGTGGATCGAGGAGTGGGAGCCTCGCTTTGAAGCGCGCGCGCGCCGGCAATGCTGGGCAGAAGGCGGCCTCGACGACGACGACCTAGCCGCTGACGGCTTCCTTAAGCTTATGCGGCGCCTGCGCATAGTACTCTTACAGGACCTGGCTGTCTTGCAGCCTCGCTACCCGTCGCTGCCCTTCTTCGCCTATGCCCCTTTCAACGGGTCTGAATGGGACGAGTTCGCCGTCGCCGTTCGCTCCGACGCGGCAGGGGCTACGGAGCCGTTAAGCCTGCTCGTACAACGCGCCCTGCCAGAGCTAAGCGGCGTGTTAGAGAGCACGCGCGAGGCCCTCTTACAGAATAACCAGCGACTCGCCATCCGATTAGAGGCCCGGCTAGAGGGAATCCAGGGCGGTCTCGATTCCCTGCTCCAGGGCAAGGTCCCAATCACCTTTACCGGCCACTTTGGAGCCGGGCCAGCAGTGTCGCTGGCGCCGGCGCCGTCGGCAGCCCCTACCTTGAACTTCAATACGGCTCCGGCTCCGGCTCCAGAGCCTCCAGTACCAGGTATGCCCGTCGTTGCAGCCCTGGCCAAGGTCTTTACAGTGCGGGATGTCTGGAAGGAGTGGGAGGAAGGGATTGCAGGTCAGCCGGCCGTACGGGTGCTAGAAGAGACGTGGGGAAGCCGCTGGCGCCCGGGGAACGGGATCAGGGTGCAGTTCTGTCGCCGGAAGGTGATCTGGGACGAGCTCTTGGCCCGCACGGCGTCCGGCAAGAGCGAGGAGGAGGCAGTTGCAGAGCTAGAGCTCTTACGCGCCGGCCGGAGCTTGAACCGGCTCGTCGACGAGCTCAAACAGCGCCGCCGGCGGGGCCAGGGCCAGGGCCGGATACGGGTACAGGTAGGGACCCCCGTGCCCGATGACCCAGACCCGGGACCAAGGCCGACTCGGGACCAGGGCCATCGGGGGCGCTGGGCTCGGCTAGGGAGGAGGCGGACCGCCCCTCGTCGACGGTAAGCTGGCCGTCAGGTAGGATCTTTATATATTTATAGCGGTAACTAGTCCGTATCTATCTATCTATCTAGAAGGCATATTTTTATTTTTTATATTTTTTATTTTTTTTGAAGATTAAGGAGCAGCAGGATCAGCGCATTGCTATGTCGTAGTCCTTGCAGCGAAGCCTGGCCCCCCAGCCGCTGCACACGCAAATATCTCAGCGCCCGCTCGCCTATACAGCGTCGCTCTTGAACCAAACGGACCGCCAGAGCGTAGCAGTCCTCCAGCCCTGGAATTGCATCGATTTGGCTCCTAACCGTCGAGATATTCGCGTGCGCGGCGCCGGGCACTTATCAGATGGTAGTTGTGTAATCACATACGATTTCCCGAAATTACTCCGCAAAACGACCCCACGATAAGTTCTGCTTATCGTGTACGTTACAAACTTTTCAGCCAATTTTGATCTCATACCCGCAGCAACGAAATTTCATCAAATTTTTATCTATAGCAGCTTCCTTTAATCGCCTTGAAAATGCCTCAACAGTCTTATACAGAGAATGATGTCATTGAAGCTATACTGGATGTTACAGATAATGACCTCTCGCAGCACCAGGCCGCCCAGAAGCATGGAATGCCCCAAACCACTCTGTCTGACCGATTAAGAGGCCTACCGTCAAAGTCCGAGGTCACCCAACCTGCCCAGTTGTTATACAAATCCCAAGAGGCTAGATTAGTTACATGGATACTTCGACAAGAGGCCTTGGGCTATGCTCCTTCCCACAGTCAAGTTCGCGCCACGGTAGCTGCCCTGTTGAGACAGCAGGGCCGGGAAAGGCCTATCGGTGTACACTGGCTAGCCAGGTTTATTAAACGCCATCCAGAGATCGATACGAAGGTGGGAAAACGCCAGGAAGCTGCAAGGTTCAATTCTTTTACCCCAATGGCCGTCAATTGGTACTTTGATATCCGGGAGAGCGAATATGGCTGGATCAAGCCTGAGAACACGGTTAATGTTGACGAGGGCGGCATCATGGCTGGATTTGGTGAGTACTGACCACTTCTGATACAAGAATTACCAATAAATTGCAAATCTAGGTTTGGATTCCTTGGTAATTGGCAGTAGCGATCCCAGGAGGAAGGCCTTCCTCAAAGGTTCACAGTCCCGCACTTGGACTAGTTTTATCGAAGCCGTCACTGCAGATGGCCGTCTTCTAAAGCCTGGTATTATCTTTAAAGGCAAGGAGCTTCAGCAGCAGTGGTTTATGGACGAGTTCAGAAAGATCGCCGACTGGTATTATATCACGTCCGACAACGGCTGGACGGACAACCATATCGCAGTCGAGTGGCTCCAGGAGGTCTATCTTCCCCAAACCCAGCCAGCAGATGAGTCTGATGCAAGGCTCATCATATTAGATGGCCATGGGAGCCATGTATCTGTGGGTGTCTACCTGTTCTCGATCAGAAATACCGCTGACTGAAAATCCAGGATGAGTGGATGGCCAAGTGTTTTTTGAACAACGTGTATTGCTGTTACCTGCCTGCACATTGCTCTTATGGCCTACAGCCACTGGATAATGGTGTTTTCAACACATCCAAGGCTGCATATCGAAAAGAACTCCAAAAACTGGCAAGCCTGACGGATTCTGCGCCCGTGAACAAGGTCAACTTCATCAAGGCTTATGCCAAAGCCAGGGAAGAGGGTATGGCGAAGAAAAACATCCTTTCAGGCTGGAGAGTAACTGGGAACTGGCCGATTTCACGACGGAAAGCGCTCATACATGCCGAAATTCAACCAGACAAGAAGGAAACGACGCCTGGATCAGACGGCCACAGAGACGGGCAAGTCGACTCTGATAATACGCCAAAGACCAGCCGTCACATCAGAGACCTGGGGAAGGACAAGAGCCCTTCTACCAGAAGGCGGTATTCTGTGATATCAAAAGGGTTTGAAGCCCAAGAGTCCAAGATCGCCTCTTTGAGCACCAGAATAGCCAGCCTGGAGGAGGAAGTTGGCCGGTTGAGTAGAGGCAAGAAGAGGAAGGCGATACCGAACCCCAATAAGAAATTTATGACGCTGGCAGAGGCTTTAGCGGCTGGTGACACTATTTCAGAGCCAAACGAAGCAATTGAAGGGGCGGGTGTTGTTGAGGATGTGATCGAGGTGGGAGGGATGGAAGAGGATGAGAGGTTATATTCAGGGAAGGAAGAATTAGGTGTCGTACGCACCCGCACAGGGCGTGAGGTTAAAAGACCTAAAAAATATTAAAATAGATCCAATTTTGATCTGAATTCCAGAGATAAACTTATTTTTACTATTTTTATTAAATTTTTCCCATGAGGTTACAAAAGTGCATTATGTATGGGGGAATTTTTTTTTCGCTGACCGGTAGGTGGGTATGACCGGCAGGTGGGTACTGCATGGTTGTGTTCATGATAATATGTAGGTGTTTGCGCTATCGCATGCACGGATGGACAGCCAAGATCAAATGAGCACTTGATTTTCTATCTAAAGGAGCGACGAGAGTCGGTCTCTTATACTCATGTTCAATCTGCCGATCGTCTAGGCAGCAGGATGCTGCCTGTGATTTAGAGTTCATGGCAACCGTGAAGTTATTCACGATGGTCGTGATCCTTGCCCTTGACACCTAGGCCTGCGTTCGGTTTCCTTTTTCCACAGCCGCATCCTCTCGGTTACTGACTACTCGCTCAACAGCAGTTCCAATATCTTCAGCGCCATCGAGCATATCCAGCCAGGCTGTCTGCACCGTCTCATGCTCAAGCAGCAACACAATAACCTCAGCTACAGATTCCCGGCTAACATTGCCCCTCGACGTTTTAGTTTTTCCAAGTTCAATCGGCCCTGCTGGTTCGTCCGACAGTATCCCCAGGCGAAGACTTATCCCCGAGAAGTCAGCTCGGCTAGATGCCTCCTGAAGAAGTATTTCGTCTGCTGCTAATTTCGCTTGACAGTAGCTCAAGAGACCGCTTCTCTGCATCTCTTGCGCGTATATCCAGGCGTCCTGATCCCACCAACTAGGTCGCTTTTGACGACAGTTAATATACGAGATAAGAAGTAATTTTTTAACAGTCGGCGTTTGGACTGCAGCCTTAATAAAGTTAATAGCAGCATCTTGATCGATGGCAAATGTCTGGCAAGGTTATCAGTAGCCATTTTCGCTTGAGTTGACATATTTCTTACTTGGTCGGGTCTTGCTTGTCCGCCTGCCCCAGCGCACCAAACAACGGTATCTGATTTGACTTCATCGAGGATCGATCTTGCCTGGGAAGTATCGTCGACATGTTCCAAATTACGGACCAGCACGTTCAAATTTCCCTGGTTAGCAGCGGCCAGGCTGTTGATCTGGGAGACTTGATCCTGACTCCGAATGAGGCTAGTGACGGTCCACGACTTCTTCAGTAGTTTCTGCGTAAGGATCTGAGCAATCCTTCCGTGGCCGCCGACGATCAGAACGTGTCGACTCATTGTAGAAGTTGTCAACTTCTCTGGGGGCGTGCTTGCGCGATTGCTTGAGAGTGGTTGATTGCTGGTACAGGCAAGACTGTGATAAGGCAAATCTGATGGTCCCAGTAGCATAGAGTTGACCGCGCAAATAATTTATACATCAAATCTTCGCGCCAGCCAGGAAGGCACCAGAACAGCTGATAACCAATCGTGGAACGATGCTAACTTGACAATGTCATGTCGAATAGTGATGTAATAATGGAAGCTTTACTTCGTCATTGTGCAGGAATGATCCATAGCATGTATGTAAGGCGTAGCGGCATATTATGCTTCGTCGGGCACGTTACTCTCCGTTTGCGGAGTCAGAATTCCCAGGTGCTCATTTGTCAGACTTGACCAATGAAGAAGCAGTCTTACAGAGCTCACTAGTTCTCATCAGGAATCCACCATGGCTGTCAGCCATCATTACGGGTACCACCTGTCAGTCTACGCTGTGCTAATTCAGTGTACATAACCCAGGTATCCACTCCTTTTAACAACTTTGGGTGATAAGTATTCTCGTTCGAGAAGTTGTGGAAGGATTGTGTAGCAGTACATAGCAAGTCCAAAGGATGGAGCACTATTATAACAAGGGCTTCATGTAATTTGATCGAAGATAGGTACAAGGAATTTGGCCCCGGTACCCGCCGAGGCCTCCCATCCGACTCGTGCACAAGTTGTCCAGCCTGGAAGATCTAGAACCATCTATCCCGGTAAAGCTGGAATCGTACCCTGACCGAGTTTAAAAGCAATATTTGGCTGATAGGTCCCACTTAGGTAGCTTCTCCGGGGCGCTTCCCCACTTTCAACAACCCTGGTAACTTGAAGTCCGGCTATGATCAGGATTAAGCTATATTATGATAAGTTTACGCGAAGAACTACGATAATTCTTAACTTAGCAATGTGAAAATAATCTATTTAGTCATATACTTGGTCTAGCTAACCTGTCTAGCGCTTTCCCAAATTATTCTTTTCCTTCAAACCGTGTGGCCCAGGAACTCTTGTCTGGCAACAGCGATAAGCTCCGCCTATCTCTTCAAGCGGCACAAGACTCCAGCGAGGTACCGACAAGGGGGTAAGACCAATCAAAATGATCAGAACAATAGGTACTTTCTCATATCTCTTTGTATGTGAATTCGGTGTGTTTCTTCATCATTGTTTCAATTGAGACTGATTTGGCTGATTTACCATGATGTTTTGCGAAAAATGCGTCTCTGAGCTAACTTTTCGTACCCCGCAATGTACCGGCGCCGTCTAGGCGCACAGGACCTGTGTGCTCGGGGCACAGTCCCCCTGTCAGCGGGCTAGGGGCACAGTCCCCTGGCTAAGCATTTCCCGTTGAATTAGAAATTGACTGAATGTACTACTTTGGGTAGGGCCTAGAGACCGGCCCTACCCAAGTACTGTTGGCCCTAATCGCCAAGAGACCTGAAGAAATATTCACTAGTGTCGATCCCAACGAAATCAGTTTATTATGGTATTTATTTTATCGATGCGAGATCACTTTTATTGGTATTGTACACGATTATAAGCATGGGAACTTTTCCAGGTCTAGTTGTTTGGTACGGATGCGTCTTGCGTCTTGAAGTCCAGTTTAGACCTGAACATACCGTCAGGGGCATGGTTTTTTCAAGTAGGAATTCACTGTAACTTCTTTAGTATTCATTTTGACTGATGACTTCATCTTAGCTATCAACTGTCCGGCATGATCAGTATTGGTCGAATCTTTTGCAGCTACTCGTCAAATCCTCGGCTGAGTTCTGCTTGATAGAGTAAGTTAATTGATTAAATGTAAAAGGAGGAAGTTGAGTGATTTTTGTCCGACTCGCTTGTACGTCCGACTCGCTTGTACGTCCGACTCGCTTGTACGTCCGACTCGCTTGTACGTCCGACTCGCTTGTACGTCCGACTCGCTTGTGGAGTACGTTATGTGTTTGCAAATCGGGTCTACTAAACTCGATTTCGCCCATTATGGGTAGAACCCTTGGCACATCTAGGTAATCTCGATTCATTGCACCATCTCCCTCGTTCGTGTAACCAAGAAGACACCGTTGATCTCACAGCACCTTGCCATCCCGTATCGTATTCAAGGCTGACACTTCGTAGTCGGTATTCGATAACATCCTGAACCAATTTGAGCAGAGTAAGAAACCCTTGATCTTATCGAATACAGATACTCATCCTCTCCAGACCCTGTTTTTGTCGACCCTTTATACGAAATACCTGATTATCACCTGTCGGCAATCTCACCAATTCCCAACATACCCCTCACTCAACCACCATCAGACCCCTCTTCTAGTGAGCCATATGAGATAGGAAAATTTCCCTCTTGCCTCACAAACCTCATTGGGGATGACGATCTGCTTCTGCGGAGCGGGCAAATACCACAGCCAAGAAATTCCAAACAGAAACTCGATTCAGCTTGTTCCGATATGAACCAGACAACAGTCCCGCCGCAGTCACTTACTGCGGGAATTTCGGAAGTGAAAATGTGCTCATCATCCCATAAACCAAAGAAAGCCCACAAGAAAGCCCGACTTCCTGCACATGTCCTTCAAGAACGGGAGTGCCATAACAACATAGAGAAGTAGTATCGCACACGCCTGAAACTGAGGTTTGAGCGATTACTCGCTGTGCTCGAGGCTTCCAAGGTGAGGAACGAGGCTGTGGGCGACGGGGACTCGGAAGCACCGGATTTTTGTTACAGTCGAGGCGAAGTGTTGGATGCCGCAAGGCATCGCATCCTTACTCTCGAGGAAGAGAACAGATATCTGTCTACTCAAATAAGGGATCTAAATAAAAGGTTCATGAGTCAGTGACAGAGGGGATACTTTTAACGAAGGCCTGAGAAGGAAAGATAAGAAACGCTGGAGGTTGGCGACAACCATGTGGAGATAAATAGTTAAGGTTATTGCGCATGTTTGTGAGGGGAACCACTCAACTAATATATGCATGTGTCTTTCGTGAAGTACGTTCAGACCCATGTCCACCACCCACATAGAATAGCAGACCAACTGCTCCGTAACTCGAAGATAGTCCCAGTGGCTGCATATCTTTCATGCTTAAGACCAAGGTATAATATCATCTGCCGGACTCAAACTAACGCCCGGTGAGAGGATGAACCTTCCTCTTTGTTTTAACCCCACGATTCAAGAACACTAGATTTGACTCATAGATCGGCACATCATGACTGGGTCAGCTGGCATATTCGGCAGACGATAAAGGATGTGTAATTAGTCGATACAACTCAGGATAGATCCAGGTGTGACATCTAAATATTATCTACGTAGTCTTTCTAGACATGGGCCTGCCGTGGCCTTGATATTGTACAATAATTGATGACAAAGTTATGCATACATATAGGGCATGTGTCGTGTTCCGCCAGGTACCAGGCCGCGATACAATAGGAGTGAAAGGTATGCTGACAGTCCAATTGGCGAACCATGTCCGTATCCATAACATCACACAAACAAATAGCACTGAATATAGAGCATGGTGGTTAGTAGGTGCCTTCGAATAGTGGCATGTTCAGAGATATACCATGTCATGTTTGAGGCCGGTACAGCCCAGGAGGCGTGTACATGGTGCATGATGTCCCACCTCATATCTTTGCTCGTTCTAGAAGGAGCAAGGGCATCGAGGTGCGGCAGGTCTCGATGTCGAGAAGAACCTGACGACCTAGAAGTCGGTGATGTTTCCTCCGAGGACACAGAAGTTCCCGGCCTCGACCATCTAAAGACTCTTCACAATCGTTAGTCTCGTAGCTCTTTGCAAAAGACAAGACATACTTCGGTATTCCAACCAGGAATAGAATTGTCAAAGCCATAAGCGGCAGCAGAATTGGAGCCAACCACCCCAGCATCGCATGGCTTGGGGTCGGGGTCGGGGTCGGGGTCTCAGGGCTCCCCAAGTGGGTGATGCTAGGGCTAGACATGACTGCTATGGAGTGAAAGGATGGTCCCCCACCAAGATTCCCCACAGAGGCAAGTGACTGGGATGTTGCGTTTGATATGAATTTTACTTTATGAACCCTCATCTGCAATTGATCGAAGATTCGGATTTGAACAGGTTTCTGAGGCTCTAGGTTATGATATGATGGACACCACCGTCACTTACCATTTGTAGCGTTAGCATCACGCCACAACGGCGCGCAGCATGATGTGACGAGGCACTCCCATTCAGCCATTCAGAGGCCACAGATGTTCATGTGAGTAAATCCTATTAATCCAATTCGCTGAATACCCGGGTTGAACAATTGATAACACGATTTGCTCTTATGACTGACATATGACAGCTCTGAATGCGATGAAAAAGGCGGCCTCTACACAACAAGGATCAGGTGCGAATCTTCTGACAGGGATTAATAAACATTGGGCAGTTTCAATTGAGTTTGAGGGCGTCGCCTTTATCGCATGACCAATGAAGACATGTCGAGACAGCCCCGCAGCGTCGTTCATTTGACTACTATGACGATACGCGTTCTCTGATTTCAAAATGCACATCAGACAATATGGATATATTTTCACGTAGTCCCTTCAGTCGCTTCGAGCACTCTTGGGTCATCAAACCTGACTTATTCATTAAACCACCATCTTCTGTGTTTAAATACCTAATATCTACTTGAAAGTTCATCATGTCGAACAGTTCCGAACTCCTCTACCATGTCATCCTAACAGTCATCGACTTCCATCTAGACCCGTCGGGGGCCAAACGATCCATCTACATTCTCGGCACACGTACGACACTCGAAGCCGCCAAAGACTCGGCTTTCAGAGTCCTCCATACGCTGAGATACGAACCGGACGACTTCATCGAGTATGCCGCCCATTCAAGCCACACTGGAGACTGGGCTTATGGCAATGGAGTTCTGGTCTACGCTAAGGCTCCTGCGGGCCAGGTATTCCAGATCTCTATCCAGGCTACACCCAACACCGAACAGCTTCTGGGAGACAGCGATGGATCTATCATACTACCCCAAGGAGCACCTTCGCTTTACTACGTGACGCAGACCGTCATCGACTACAATAAAGATCGAACTGGCTGCGTGCAGGAGATGCAGATAGAGGGGACTTTTGTTCACCGGACTGATGCAAGCAACGCAGCGCGCAAGCTACTTGATCCTCTTGACTATGCAGAGTATGACACGCCGGAGAAGATGAAAGAGGAATGGCCATATGGGGATGACGTGGTTGCCCATGCAGTCGCAGAGACTGGCGAGAACACAACTGTTGAAGTAAAGACTGTTGTTGATACACATTACAAATACGAGAAGGTTGTCTAAACGGATTCTTTTGGTGATCTGGAGTTGGTTTTAGCCGATGGGGAATGTGCATCTTCTTTCCTGGAGGCTTGCAAATTTTGGTTGAGAAATTGTATCATTAGTTGTTAAGGCTGGCAACTTGGGGATTCAACTTATTAGCATGTTTGCTTTTACTCAGATACTAGGCTATTAATAGGTATCTCTTTCACTGCATATACTAGACATTAGAATCCAGGGCATTGTTATGTGATAAAGCAAAAGTAAAGATACATTAAAGAACGAGCCTATCTACAAAGAGCTGGCACTATATCCACATTGTCGCTAGCAAAGGATTGACATCAAGATGCACTAATCAGCGCCCTCGTATACCGCACTGAGTAAGCACCAAGAGTTGAGTAAAGAACAGAATCAACAAAAGCAGTAGAAAACGACACTTCCCAACGACGCGGCAATGCAGCCGAATCAGAAATGGAAGCCAGGGGGAACGCAATACGGCGAGCCGTTCTGCTTGTTAAACAGGCAACCCGTCTTCGGGGGACAGACACCGGCGAACTAAAAACCGGATAAGCTTTTCCTGTCATCCACCGCCATGGAACGGAGAGACTTACTACCCAGGTGCGGCCGACATTGCAGACCTGCCAGCCCTTGAGGTCGGGCGTGCACGAGTAGGTTCCAGGCGTACAGCCTTTAGGAGCTGGGGTAGCAGCTGCGAGGGCAGTCATAGTGGTGAGAAGAGGGATAACCTTCATGATGACAATGGCGTTGATGTGTAACGATTGATTGAATTTTATGGTAGCGAGTGGATGCTATTGATGATGAAGAAGTCAGCGCATGGCTGCTTGAGATGGCATTTTATACTTGACTGGAGTGCTTCCAATCTCCAGATCTCGTACTACAATTGCATTGCCTCCTCTGAATTATATTTAGAATAGAGGTCAGTTCTGGTCATTGTGCAGGCCATTACGAGGTGACTCGCATGTGAAGTGATCCAGTTATGCGCCAAAGATAAGCTTACACTGGCGTCGTTATAATGGTTGGGTCATTTGACTATTGGAAGACCGTAATATAATGTTCCGATACGAGAAACTCAAGGTGACGGTGCAAGGGGCCACATCCCTTCAATTGTCGAGGAGCTCCGGCGAGTACCTGTTAGATTGGCGGCTGGGAATGGGCTCCACTTCCCTTATTGCAATATTATTCTTGTATCCAAAAGAGGGGTGAAACCCCTCTCGGACAGACTGATCAAAGAATCAGGTCGACGATCAATAACATCACAACATTCTGCTCCACTTGGATACACTCACCCCGTCGTATTCGTGCGTATCTAACAGTACCCCGCCCCACACCACCCCTGTCAACGAGGAGGTACATGAGGGGATGTGAGCAGTATGATGTAGCGATTTGTAACTCGAGAGATTGCTGGTACTTCTACCATAGGCTAAAATAGGTGAAAGGCTAGGTACCTTCAATCCGATGCATTTTTATTGGCTGCCCACCCCTGCTGTGACCCGACCGGAGCTCCTCGACAATTGAAGGGATAGGGACACGGGTCCGTACACACACGGGTCATATAATTAGTCAGCACAGCCCACTGTAAGGCTCCCACTGGAACGGCGCCCGGGCGTCGCGATAAGATTTTAGCGGGTCCCAGAGTAATTTGATTGGCCAGCAACTGCATCTCTATCACCCGTAGATTTTTTTTTGTTTACTTCGGATCAAGATCTGGTTCGATTACTACAACAGTACGAGGTACAACTCCGCAATCACTGGAGACTACCGAGGAATCAGACCTACCTACACGATCACAGCCAGCGCTGTCACCGTCACCGTCACCGCCATTGACGCAATCAGTTCCAGAGTTGCCGTATTACGCACCTGAGGCTATATATCGACGTTATGTCGCCGCGAGAGCAGCATGGTATGAAAGCCAACCTGCTGGCAGCCTCAAGACCAATCAACAATACCGCAGGGCAATAGGTCTTCCGCAGCGATATGGTAGAGAAATGTATACCTGGTGCCAAGACCACAAACAAGTGGGCCAGTACTGCCATTTGCCGCAAGGAGGACGAAGAAAATGGACAAAGGAAGAAATGATGGCCTATATTGACTGGGATTTTGAAGAGGTTAGACGCACCGATGCTCAGGTCAAAAGGCAGCTAGAAAACGACGGTAAGGAAGCTACTAGACGCGGCATGGGGGACATTTTGAGGCAAGCCGAAGAGGACATGAGGGCTGAAGAAGCTTTATTCTTCAATGTAATTAACTTAGTTACCTTTATCGTAGACTCATGACTTCACCTAAAGGTCTCGTGCCGTCAGCATAATTGGTATGAGTTGATGTGCTGGCCAGCCAATCAAATTACTCTGGGACCCGCTAAAATCTTATCGCGACGCCCGGGCGCCGATCTTGTTGCGGCGCCTGGGCGTCGTTCCAGTGGGAGCCCCACTGTAATTTCCGGCAACACTCACTAACTTTTCTGCCTGTCTCACCACTGGGAACTACCACTACAACCATCAATGGATTCCAACACAGCAGCTTCTTTCCCTCTTCAGCAGTGGTATAGATCACACGAGGATCTGTCCCTTGATCTCCATATATGGGCAGCAACTAATGGCTTCAAACTTATCATAGGAAGATCATCCACTAATGCCTCCAGTCAAACTACTGTTACGTATTCATGTAATAAGTTTCGTTCCGGTTGTCAATTTTCTGTTTTTGCTTTGCAAAAACGGAGCGGCAATTGGCTTCTCGAATTTCGTACTGAAGCCCGGTTTTCTGAACACAATCACGAGCTTCATCAATCTCGAGATGAGCCGCGAGACGAACTGCAAGATGAGTCACAAGACGAGCAACCCCCAGAGCAAGATGAGCGACAAAACAAAAAGCAACCTACCTGTAGCAAATGTCACAGAGAAGGCCATAGAAGGCGTGCCAAAGCTTGCCCATTGAGATACCAAAGTAGTCCTTAGTGGCAGAAAAGTTACAGTGAGTGTTGCTGGAAATTACAGTGGGCTGTGCTGACTAATTATAGATAGATAGAGTTTATTACGCCCGGGAGAACGAATCCCATAGGGCCAGCAGGTACGCTAAGCTATTTACGATTCCTCCGCATTGATCCGGTCTACACAAAGGAAAGCCCCACTTCTCTTCTTATGTCTTTTCCGTTCAAGCCTCGCTTGACTCTGCTTGACAGGCCTGCTTGAAGGCCGACTTCTCCAAGTGTTCAGCATCCTACCTTCAGCAGCTGAAGCATGGTCTGCCAACTTGAGGCTGTTTGTTGTTAGTGATTGACTGCTGTGTTAATATTTAGTAATTTTCTGTTTCTCCCCTTCTTAACTTCCCTCTCGGCTCAATCGTCCCGTCGTCATCGCAAATTTGACTGTCGCTCGCACCGCCTCTGGGTTAGGTGTCCACTTTAGTCTATCCGAGGCCGACTTTCCGCCCAGAAAGAAGGAAAGGTTGCCCATCATGCCTTGTCCAACTTGTCGCATGGCTTCACGTTCTATCTCCCATCTTGTGCACCGGAATAGAAAATGCTCCATCGTCTCTGGTGCGTGTCCACACTCGCACATATCTGATTCTGCGGCTCCTATCTTGCTTAGGTAGCTGTTGATCCTCGCCATTCCCGTGCGGAGCTGCGAGAGCACGTCAGCTTCTCGCCTCTTGAGTCCATCGTATAGTGCTTGCGTATGTTTGCCTGGTAGAGCCCGGTCGATCCTTTTAGAGTAACCGCCTACTCTGTCGCAGCGCTGCCCTCAAATCAAACAAATCAAATCCGGGGTCATATTTGAGATATTTGACAACCTTCAACGTTGGATTTGTTGTTTGGAATATTTATTCAAATATTTCAAATATTTCAAATCTCACCCTCTATTCTCTCCTGCTACTATGTCCCAATCTTCCACTAGACCTCGTCTCCCCCACTTGCTATCGCCCCCAGCTTCACCGCACCATGTCTGACCCAATTCTTCAGGCATTGCAACTTCTCCAATGTTTCCGTCGTCATCGAAAGCCTCTGCGACGTCATCGTCAACTTGGCGAGGCTGAACGACCTCTCGCAATCAGTTGCCATCGCCGGTATCGCGAGTATATCGAGAGCTAACTGGCTGACCGTCGGAAATTGTCCCTGGTGAGCCATCCACCACTCAATTGGATCCTCAGTCTCTTGCGGCTCTAGCCGCAGATACCGCTCAAGCTCACTTCCCGTCACCGTAGTCTTTGCTGTCCTGCTCTTCACCCACTGCTTGAATTGATAAAACAAATAGGTTCATTGTATTGTTGTATGTTCTAAGTTACATGTGCCTGAGAGGAGCACAGCTCCTTAAATAGTATCCACATCCCAGCCACCAGTAGGTCGGACCACCTTAGCCACACTGTCTCAACACTCCCACTCGAGCTGCTGTTGGGCTTGATGTGCACGCCTGTCGAGCCTCGTTAAAACCCCAAAAACACCTTCGTGGGTGAAAACTGCAGGGAAAGAGCTATCTCGACATGGGCGCTCAGGATCTCTTAATGGTCTCGTGCAATCTTGGGGCAATGGGTCTTCTTCTGTCCGCAGAAGATCTCCTTCCAAGTTCATTTTTGCACCTTTCCTTTCAGTCCGATGCAATCCTGAACTTGTTGGTCTTCTTCTTGTCCGCGGAAGATCTCCCACTGAAGCCCATCTTTGCACGGTCTTGCAAGCTTTCTTGGGACCGCAGGCCTTCTTCTGTCCACAGAAGATCTCCTGCCTATGCCCGTCTCTGCAGGTCTTGCAATCTTTCTTTGGGATCGTAGGTCTTCTTCTATACACAGAAGATCTCCCACTGAAGCCCATCTCTGCAGGTCTCGCAAGCTCTCTTGGGACTGCAGGTCTTCTTCTGCCCACAGAAGATCTCCTGCCTATGCCCATCTCTGCAGGTCTTGCGATCTTGTGATTGCAGGTCTTCTATCCGCAGAAGATCCCCTGCCTACATCCGTCTCTGCAGGTCTTGAAATCTTTCTTGAAATCGCCGGTCTCCTGTCCATGATAGGTCTCCCACTTCAATCCATATTTGCACGCTCCTCACGCTCGGCACAACCTTGAGATCGTGGCTTTCCTTCTAGTTGCTTAGAAGCTCTCCCACTCTAACTCACCTTTGCGCCTTCTTCACGTTTCCGTGCAATCTTGGATCCGTGGGTCTCCTGTCTGTCCATGGCAGGTCTCCTGTTTTGGTTCATCTCTGCACCTTCTCATGGTCGTCGTTCTTTGAGACCTAGTGCGTTTCTAAATAGAAGGAAACGATCCTTTGGTAAGGCCTTTGTTAGGCCGTCGGCCACTTGTTTGCCTGTTGAAATGTACTGGAACTCAACAGTTCTATCATTGACTTTCTCTCTGCAGTAATGATGCTGAATATCAATGTGCTTGGTTCTTGTATGGAACTGCGGATTCTTCGACATCGCGATCGCTCCTTGGTTGTCCCCGAAGATTACAGTTGTCTTTAGTTCTGGAACTTCCTTGTATTCTTTCAACAGTTCTTGGAGCAGACCTCGCAGCCAGACTGCTTCTTTTACGGCTGCGGTTTGCCCCATGTATTCTGCTTCACATGACGACAGGGCCACAGTTCTTTGTCTCTTCGAGCTCCAGCTGATAGCGCCCGTACCGAGGTTGAACACATATCCAGACGTTGATCTTCGAGTCTCCAGGTCTCCCGCCCAATCCGAGTCGGTGTAGCCGAGGAGAGGTTGCAGTCCTCCTTGGTACACTAGTTCCAGATTTTGTGATCCCTTGAGGTATCGAAAGATACGCTTGACAGCTGTCTGATGCTCGTTGGTTGGGTTCGCTAGGTGTCGACTGCATAAGGAGACGGCAAAAGCGATGTCGGGTCTCGTCCCCAGCATGAGATACATCAAGGATCCAATCGCCTTGGCATACCACTCTTTGAGTTCGTCCGCTGCCTTATAGCCCGAGTCTGGTTCTCCGAACTTGCTTGTCGAAACTGGTGTGGCATTGGGAGCGCACTGGTCCATTCCAAAGTCTCTAAGTACTTTCTCAAGGTAGGTCGTCTGCGACAAGAAAATCGATCGGGTTGCTCTGTCTCTTCTTAGCGACATGCCTAGGTAGTATTTGCATGGACCCAGGTCTGTCATCTTGAACTTGTTGCACAGAGCTTGTTTGACCGCCACGATCTCCTCCTTGGAGGGCCCGGCAATAAGTAGATCGTCCACATAGACCGCAATGAACGTGTGACCTTTCACAAAGATTCCCATATCTGAAAGTAAAGGCTTGAAACCGAGCGTCTCAAGGAAGGTTGACAGAGTCTCGTACTACACCCTTGGTGCTTGCTTCAGTCCATACAATGCTCTCAAGAGCTTGCATACTCTGCCACTACCATCGTCGAATCCTTCGGGTTGCTCCACGTATATCTCCTCAGCTACGAGGCCATAGAGGAAGGCCGTCTTGACATCCATTTGTTCCAGTTCCAAATCTAGTGCTGCCGCGATGGCAAATATCATCTTGTAGCTCATCGGCTTGACAACAGAGGTGAAGGTTTCGTTGAAGTCAATTCCTTCCTTTTGCTCGAATCCTCTCACGACAAAGCGGGCTTTGTGCCGCAGAACTTGCCCATTTTCTCCTCTTTTGAGCTTGAACACCCATTTGCCTCGAAGGACCTTTCGTCCTGGTGGAAGCGTGACTAAGGTCCAGACACCATTCTCGACCAGAGACTTGTGTTCATCCTTCAATCCTCCCCACCAGAGTTTTCCATGTACACCCTGCGTGGCTTCCCTGAAGGTTCTTGGTTCGGACTGATCGATGTCGCGAGCGACTAGGTACAGTTGTTCTGCAACTGTTGCTAGGAAGGCGAAGTTTGTGCTGGCCAGTATGTACCTCGATGGCAGCTGTCCCCTGGTCGATCTTTCCGGCAGCCGAGACTCTGCATGCTCCTCTGTTTCTTCCGACGACACTTCGCGCTCGTTTGTGGCAACATGGATACTCGATCTGGTTGACTCTTGGTCTGGATCCCATCCTGTATCTCCCACCAGGAGCTCATCCGGCGTCGTCTCTCCACGGCCTGTTTCCCCGCTTCTGTTCGCCTCTCTCGACGCGATCGGAAGGGGCGACGGCTCTAGAACGATGGCATTCTTCACATCGCTATCCCCTTCTCTGACTACTCGTCGTCGTTGCGATGGCCTCCGGTCACTCGTTTGATGCGTGAGATTGTCAAGTGTTGGTTCGATGTTTTTGATGTTTTCAGAGAAGACAACATTATTAGACACAAAGACTCGTCCCCTTTCGTCAAGAAGTATATAGTTCGTACTGCCCTGATAGCCGAGAAGCTGGCAGGGAATGCTCTTTGACTGCATCTTTTTTCGTTTAGAGGATGGAAGCAGAGCCCATCCTCGTGAGCCAAGAACTCGCAGATGGCTGAGGTCGGGAACATCTCCATACCAGGCTTGGTAAGGAGTAGTGGAAATGCTCGCCGTAGGACAGAGATTTCGGATGCGGTTTACTGCCTTGAGAAAGTACGGCCACCATTTCAAAGCGAGTCCGGATTTGATCAGTGTCGGTGTGAGTTTTTCCAGGATGATTCGATTGAGAACTTCAGCAAATCCATTTTGTTCGTGTTGTTCAGTTGCTGTATAGGAAAGTTTAATTCCTCTGTCCCGGCAGAACCTGGTCAGGACGTGGCTTCGATTTTCTCCCCCTCGATCAAGATGCAGGAAGTGGCATCGTCTTTCCGGTCTTTCGAACTGTTCCAATAGATGTTGGAAACATTCTTCAAAATCTGACCTTTCTTTGACTGGATACACCCAGGACATTTGCGTAAAGTCATCAATAAAGCAGGCCCAATACCGGCTCCCGTCTACTCCCACTTCTGGGAATGGTCCGGCAATATCCGCATGAATACACTCCAGAGGGTAAGTGCCTTTCTTGATCGGTCGAATGTGAGGACATTCCCTGAGTTTGCCTTGCACACAGGCCCCACATGGGTTTGATGTAGAATTATCCGGTCGAATTCCAGTAGACATATTCATCAGTCTCTTGATATTCCTCTCTCCTAAATGTGCGAGTCGCTCGTGCCAAAGGTGAAGTCGAGGATCTCCCACCGAAAAGGAGGCCAAAGCGGTTTGAAAATGATCTTCCTCAGCTTCGTCAACCACGTAGACACCTGAGATTCTTGTCGCAGTGAGGACGACTTTTCCCTTGTTTGTGACCACTGCCTTTCCATTTCGGAAGACAACCTCTGCCCCCTTCTTCTCTAGTGCTGACACGGACAAGAGGTTAGAGTGTCCTTCTGGAACATA